TTTAGTATCCGTAAGACCTTGACGTGTACATCTGAGAATGTGGTTTACCTCGCTCAGTGTGTGGCTTGTGGTTTGCAGGGGGGTGGTTCTACTATTAATTTTAAGCCTCGTTTGGCAAACTACAAGTCACATATAAAGCATAAGCGTAGAACATGTGGTGTAGTTAATCACTTCATAGATGTGCACGGGAGCGAGCATTTCAATTTGAAATTTATGTTAATTGATAACAACAACGAGGACTTAAGAAAGTGTGAAAACTTTTGGATAGGCACTTTGCTTACTAATCTGGGGGTTTTGAATACCAGCCATGATTATTCCCAACAATAGGTTTCTGTAGGCTTTGTTTATATTGCTTTAATTAGTTTAATCACTTATATTGTTGTATATAAGGAGAGTAATTTACTATATTCATTTACTTTTTGACGAAGGCGGTGGCATGCTGCCGAAAATTTAAAGCTATATATATTTTTTTATTAAATAATTTCACTTGGAGTCGTGGCAGTGTTATAACCTGTTTGTATATTATCTATGATTTGTCTGCCGAGCAGAGTGTGTACACTTGTTGCATGTATATATATATATATATATATATATATATATATATATATATATATATATATATATATATATATATATATATATATATATATATATATATATATATATATATATATATATATATATATATATATATATATATATGTATATGTATATACCGGGTGTACGTCCCCAAAAAATGTACTCCTGTTTGATTCGTAATAACTTCTAAACAAGTACAGCTTTTAAAGAGACATAACTTGCATAAAATAGAAGAAGGACTAACTTAGATTTTGATATATTACAGTTGTATTTCACTTAAAAATTCACGGAGATATTAATTTTTAAAATCGGGAGCATATTTCTGGGTGTGTCTGAAATATGCAAAAAACGGCATATCAAATATTAATCAAGATTTGCCCGACTGAAACATGCACTATTACCAGTAAATAAATGACACTTGACAAATTGTTTATTATGAAACAAAGTATTATTATATATACAAAATACAAGGAAAATTTATTCGTCCGAAATTCGCGTGTGTTCCTAGCACGAATACGTTTCCTTATTTCATGAGACCACTGCATCACGAAGGATCGTCATGGATCGTTCGTAGTTCTGAATTAGGGCATGCTGTCACAATGGAATTGTGAAGCTCTTCTAACTTCTGCAACGTTCTGAAATCTTGTTTAAGAACACCCAAACTCTTTCGCCTTTTCTTAATCTTGGCAAGTTCAGAGTAAACTGAGAATTATATGAAACACAATCAAACCATATAACTCTATAAGACATAACAATTAAGCAACTCCCCAGAGACATGCAACATTTTTGGAACAAAACGTAACAAAATAGTAGCGTTGATACGGTGATGTGTATTTGCAAAAAACAATATTATTTCCTTCAATAAAGATTAATATTCATCCTGCTCTAACCGAGAAATAATCAACTCAGTCTGTTTGAAGCCATTAAAAACATAAAATTAGGCTATTTAAGAAAAATTTAAGCGGCTGCATTCCATGCCTGGTCAGTCTTTCATGTACTTTTGTGTTTGTAAAGACCTAATATTAAATACTTGCATAATTTCGAACGTTCATATTTCAGGAAACAATGAGCTAAGACTTACATGTAAGATGTCTAAATCTACGCCATATCCCTTACAAACCCTAACGTTAATTCGTTGAAACAGAAGTTAGCATGATATGTCATTAAGCAAACAAACGCTGTAGTTAATATTTGATATGTCGATTTTCGCTAATTTTAGACACATCCCAAAGTATGCTCCCGATTTTGAACATTAATATCTCCGTGAATTTTTAAGTAAAATACAGCTGTAATATATCAAAACCTAAGTTAGTCCTTCCTCTATTTGATGCAAGTTATTTCTCTTTTAAAGCTGTACTTGTTTAGAAGTTATTACGAATCAAACAGGAGTACTTTTTTTTGGGACACCCGGTATATATATATTATTATTTATAATTATTTATAATTATTCTGAATATATAAATTCTTTATATATAAAATTCTGAATATATAAAACTTTATAACTTGATACTAATATTTCGTGTCGCTAGTTAAGGTGTTAATTGGTCTGTAATTAGATAAGCATCCTTTACCATCTGCTGTACATATTTAAAAAGTTCGTTAGAAGCTAGAGGTCAAACATAGGCTATTTTATCTGAAGAGTGCCACGTTATTTACGTGGTACAAACTGTATAATAATAAACATGCCAAACAAAGCTTGCTAAGTTTTTGTGTCTTTCTATTATGCTCTGGTTATCCATTGAGCACGCTATCATTGGTTTTTATAACCCAACACAAACTATTATAAAATGTATATATATATATATATATATATATATATATATATATATATATATATATATATATATATATATATATATATATATATATATATATATATGTAATGACAATGTGAAGTAATGACGGATGTGAAGTGAAATTGAGCAAGAAGGGGTAATTTTTTATACCTCATATTTCGGATTTTTAACATTTAACATGACAGGTACGCCAAGGTAAAGGAATTGGTAAAGAATTGCTGCCTATGTACAATGAAGCCACTGGAAAAATGCAGAGTTCGCAATTGAAGCTAAAAACACTCTTCAAGTGTTTATCAAATCCAGTTTTCACCTTACAGGCATTTTTAGAGGTACATGATTTATTTCTACTTTATCTTTGTTTCAGTAGCATGTTGTGTATCACAACGTTATAACTGCATCGACTGTGTTTTTGCGTTTTAATTTAATCAATTACAACTGAGCGCACTCGCGCTACGACAGTAGGCTACAGCTGAAGGTGCGATTTCAATCTGGCCGCACTGATCTGAAAACTGGGACAGGATAGAGTATCTTTTTGAATTCAGTTAGTCAGTTTTAAAACCAGAATATTTATGAGATGAATAATTAAAGTCTGTCAGAAACTCTGCAAATGTAACTTTAAAGATACTTCCCACATCTCTTCTAATGAGTTTTAAAATGTTTTCAACACTAGACAAGACTTATTATAAGAATTAACCCTTAATTCTTCGTGTGATCTTCTTAGTTATTCACGGACAAGATTAGGGGGGGGGGGGAGGCACTGTTGCTTTATTTATGCTTAGCGGGTTCACTGATAAGTCCTAGTTTTCAGACCAGTTGTCTTGCGACTAAAATTGAAGCGTGTGCGCCCATGCAGCTTTATAAGGGTATCTACACAGGATGTATAGTTTAAAAGTCCACTAAACTGAAAATTCGCAAAATTTGTGACGATTTTATGTTATTATGGGTAGTTTGGGGATTTTTTGCATGATATCTCTATCAGAAAATTATTCTGGAAAAGTACATTTTCCAGTTCAGCTGCAGGGCTGTTTCTTCACATATGTTCACATTATAGAAAAAAAATAATGCATAGGCCTACAATACTTTATGTTCATTTAATATTTGAGATTATTACAGTATATTATATCTATTGTAACTTTTTTTAGGCAGCATCAGAGTACCATATCTGTTCCCTGTTAACTATGTCAGAAAATTTGGATCAAGATATTGATGAAGCTACCGTTGATCAACTTTTACGCAAGTGGAAACATGATAACGCTGTACCAAAAGAATTGAAAGGTTTGTTAACATTGTGTTGTTAGCATATACATATAGAAACTAAGTACAAATTTAGTAAGTTATTTGCAAATTTCTTTAGCATTCGCCAATTATCTTAATCATTCAGCAACACCTGAAATTGGGTCGAAAAGTTGTAATGTGTGAACCTATACCATTATTACTTTAATTTTGTAGAATATCTGAAAAGCAGCTTAAAGCGATGGCTACCAAAAACCAAAATTCAAGAAAGATTTCGAAATTATAAGAAGGAGGCAGACTCTGATTACGGCAAAAAGAATAGGTAAAAATTGTCCTCAATGCCTGCTTGATGTGGGATTTTAAGTCTTAACTCTCCTAAAGCGGGATTTTCCAAATCCACATTAACGTGCATGCCCTAATTTATTTTTATATTCTATATTTCTTTACACAAAAATGTTTAGGCTCAGTTGGTTATTTATCAAGAAATATGCTTTAACGTTGTCGTAAATTGCCTCCAGTAGTGTTTACGACAATTCACAAATCCCTAAATCACAGTTTTAATTCACAAATCTCTTTATTATTATCTCGATCTCGCCAATCTGCCAACTCGCAGGCTCGCTCTCGTCACTTAAAACATGTGTTCATTTCATATAATTTATATATATATATATATATATATATATATATATATATATATATATATATATATATATATATATATATATATATATATATATATATAAAGGATGAGCCATGCCGCTTACGCATTGCGCACGCTCACTGCTTGCAGTTTTAGCGCTCTGGCATGGTTTTGATGTCCCACAATCGTGAGGCATCAAAGGTAACTGTAAATAGCAGTTACTTTCATCCTGCTCATCAGCACTACACTGATGAGGCCCATAAGGCCGAAACGGTACCTGTATATATATGTATATGTATATATATATATATATATATATATATATATATATATATATATATATATATATATATATATATATATATATATATATATATATATATATATATATATATATATATATATAT